CGTGCTCAGCATAGCCCAGCTATTAAAGTGTTTTCCTACAATGTTTATAACAATCCCACTTTATCTAAAGGATCAGCTAAATCTCACAGATCAAACTACATTTGGCAATTTTTAACAACTTCCCACACTGGTAAGAAAACATTGCTATGCCACCCATTTATGTTTGCTTCTCCCATTTTAATGAGCTGCATTTTTGTTCAATCTCTCCAAGTTAATTTCTTATGCACTTTGGTCATCTGTTGCAATAGCTCTTGCCTGCTCTCTTCTCCCTACAAAGCCAGCCTTACTCTGTTGAGGAAGGAAAGACTCCCTTCCCTAGGACCCCATGGCAGCAGTTACCAGCTAAGAGCTGCTGGGCACTGCACCTTGACAGAACTCAGCTTCTTTACTTAGAAGGATCTACTGTTGAGGACGAAGAAGTACATCTTGTCAATATTTTGTGTAGGCTTTCAAGCTGGCCTTATCAGACCCTGTTTTACCAGTGTGTCAGCAGAAGTCAAAGGGGAAAATGTACTATCATCAAGGGCTCATAAAACATCGAACATCATCCTCTAGATTCAAATGCCTGCAGTTTGCTAATGAAATTACTTACAGATCAAGAACAGCACACACTATGTTGGTAGGGAAGTAAAAATGCTACCTTAAGTTCCATCAGAAACACCAGGTTTAAAAAAAAAAAAGGAAGAAAAACAACTTCCCCATACGTTAGTGACAGATTATTTGAAATTAAGGGAACTCCTCTATACCTGAGTATCAGGTCATCTACTCTCCCCTTCATCTTTTATATACACACACACACACACACATACACTAAATTTTTTTAAGAGATTTTAAGTATGCTGAATTCCTTACCCATGACCATTTCACAGACCTAATTCACTCAGTTTTCCCAAATATCATTTAAAATAGGTCTGAAAATTTTTCAAGTTACTGAAAAAAAAAGACTAAAGTTCCTAAATATTTTCTTATGAAGGCATTTTAGCTTATTAGACAGAACGTGTATCTACAAAACACCACCTTTGTAAACCGCAATGTTGCCCCAAAAAAGCTAACCTCTCACCTAACTAAAAATCTCAAAATATACATCAGTCAGGATAGTTTTCAACATTCAGAAAGGAAAAGTAGCAATCAGTTGTAAGAGAAAATGTCATTAGAAAAGTTCAAGCAGATCATATAGTTGAGAATTCTCTGGACGCGCACATTGGAGTAACCAGTGACTGGACAGGAGCTTCCATTTCATCAGAAATTACTGTCTTTCAGCCTTCATTTTTAAACAAAGCCAGGTAGAAACGTTGAAGCACCAGCATGTTCAGTCGTATAAACATTCTGTCCACAAATACCCAAATATTTTGTTTACGTACATCATATTTTTTAAACAGAACACTGATATTTCAGAAACAAAACATTTAAATTGATTTGACATTTAAATACATCTGCTGTGTGAGCTGCACGAAGATCCAGTCCAGCAATTTTACACTATGTGCCATCCTCTGTAATGAAATAAACATCTCATAAGACAATTTAGCTGTGCAGATTGGTCAGAAGGAAAGCATTGTGTACTGAGAAAGCGCAGCTACGGAGAAAATTAAATGCTAAGAACAATGGTTATAAGAATTACTACCTGTAAAACATAGAGGCATTCTAAAGAGGCTTGCTGGATCAGATAGAAATCACATCTTTACTTTTTCACATGAAAACAGCAAGGGATTCTCAGTATGGAAAGCACAGCGGAACACTCCCTGGTGCTTCTACTCACTCCACAGCAGTGCTAGCTGCTACCGGAGAGAAAGAGGACCATCAGCAAAGTCCTTTGTGCTGAAGTGCTGATGAAATGGCAATCTGTACCTCACTGAGAAGTTAAAAATCTTTTTTCACTTTTTCAAATTGAATGATGTCACGAGAACTACTATTTCTTTTACTTACTTTTTGGATTCTTTTAAAGCAGGAATTGAAGATTGCTTTTTCGAAAATCAAATTCAAAACTTATATTTTCAGTAAAATAACTTTCTTTCTCATCCTTCTCTTCCCCAGCACAGAAAAGAGAAAGGAGCATGGGAAAGTTCAGTGAGACTCACCTTAAGTTCTACCTTTCTATACATTTCACATAGGAGAACTGAAAAGACTGATGACACTGGAGGTGGACTATCATAAATAGGTCAACAATAATTCTGAACTGTGTGCAACAGCACTTGAATCACTCTTCTAGATCAGTATCAAAAGAACTCTTCCATTGAAATACCGTGCTACATTTAGAAAATGTCATTCTGAAAAGAAATAAAATTACCTTTTCTGTATGTGATTTCTCCTTGCTTTAAAACCAAGCTAGCGCTTCATGCTACATGATGAATTGGAAGTGATTTAAATAAGATCAGTGAAAGAACAAATTAAAAGCCAAAATCCAACTGTTTCTCTTCACTGTGGGAACACACGAGTAACATTAGCAGAATTTGACCTGAAGTCAGTTGTAAGGTATTTTCTTAAGAGTCCTATCACCCATCATTTACCTGCCCACAAAACATGGCATTAGATCACATTTTCAAAGAGATGCACTGAGATAAATTCTTGAATGGAAACTCAGGACACATACAATAGTTCTGAAACCTCATTCATAACTGAGCTGTTATTTAACAATGTATCACACCATTAGCTACAACGTTGCAGAGAAGCCTAGCGTTTCAGTTGTTGACCAAATGGCAGCTCCCACAAACAGCTAAGTGTGTGGCAACAGTAAGAGTTTCTCCCTGTTACCATCACTTCACTGCTTCTCTGAAAAAAACAGCAAGGTGATATTTTATTAATATCTGGCTCCAACAAGTGCACATCATAGCTATTTCACAATGTGCAGTGATTTTCACTCCCTTGGAATACACTTTAATCTTAACAATAGACCTTTTAGATGTGTTTATGCCTGACCCAAGTCAAATCAAATTGCCATCAATGCTCTTAAAGCTTAAAACGACTTATGCCCAATATGCACTTTTGACATAAAAAAAGAAATATAGTTAGCTATTCCAGATTTAAAAAAAAAAAAAAAAAAAAAAAAGCATTGAAATGGAGAGTTCCCCTCATTTTAAGTACAGTTCAAAGCTCCAAGAAACAACCACTAGAAACGGGGCCAATATCAGATAACAATAGGAATCTAACAGGATATTAATTACTGCTTAATATAAATATACAAATATACATTACTCATGCCAAAGAAATTTGAAGTACAAAAAGCAAACAGGCTGTGATAGAAAGAGAAAATGCTCGTGCAGTTTACTTACTAGCATGCTTATCTGCAAGCATGATGAGGCTGTTGGAAATATCTCTCCTCCTGTAGAAGCACACCACTTTCGCTTCCACATTTCCATTAGCAGTCTACAAAAGAAATTAAATCACAGTGCATCCCTGCTCAGCTGAGTAACACAGACTGCACGTCCCCCACTTGCATTTTTTCCTTGTATTAAGCAGTTCTTACATGAGTAGCCAGACTGAAATAGAACTGCAGGAACTGCTTCCTGACATGGGCTAATCAATTTCATATCAAATTACAGTATTGATTATAACTATTTACTCATACAGTACCATACGTTACTCAGCAACTAAGGGACGTAACACCAGTATCATGCTAACATAAGAATACCTAAGAAGCAGTAGAACCTTGTGAAGACTTAAATATATACATATATACAACCTAGTTTTAGACTGAAATGGGGACATCAACAAGTGTGTACTTCAACATTTTTTTTTCCAGTCATATTTTATACGACATGGTGTGTTTTAAAATTAACTTCAGCTTACAAGATAAATTAGCCAAAAATATATATATCATCCCTATTTACATCATGATAAGCATTTTGCATGTTAACTTTTTACATAACAGTTTATTAGTAATTAATAATACTGCTTGATGGAATAGTAAAATAATAAAGCAGTGTGTGTATGTGTATACACACACACACACACACTCTGCTTTATTATTTTTAAAAGTCATAGTAGTATAAGAACCAAGAAATATTCATGCTTTTCCCACACACTGGAAAAACTCTATACCTTATATAAAAATAAACTCGGGACAAAGAGAGAGAATATAGTATCAATTTCAATTCACAATCCCCCATTCAAAGCTACAAAAAAAGCAATGTGAGAAACATCCACAGGAGCTATGTATTGTTACTGGATCACTGAAAAGTCTCACTGACACCTACAAACTCTTTACATAGGTATCCAGAAGCAGACATGTTATATTATTGCCATCACTCCAGATGGATTCAGTGTCATCATCATGAAAAGAATTAAATTTAGTAACTTCCTCAATCATCCACATGATTGGTTTGGATTTTTTTTTTTTTTTAAACAGCAGGGAACTCCTGTTCACTGAGAATGATAAACTGGGCGTTTCCTTAGATAACAGGGTAGAATTCCAACTTATCACACAGCAGTATTTTAATAACTGAAATACAAACAAACGCATAACAAATCTCAAGGAAGTAAAAAAGGATTCAGAAAATTCTACCAACAGAAATCTCTCGGGATGTTTAAGTCACCCTTGGTTTTGGAAAAGTACACTGACAGTTGCTGTAAACTAAGCAGGAACCTTGGATGTTTGTGTACCTTGTTAAGCTCTTCAATTCGCCTAATAAGATACGGATTGCTGGAGGAATTTTCAAAATAAACATAATCTGCAATGAAAAAAAAAAGAAAAACATTGTATTAATTCAAAAAATAACACAGCTAAAAATATATATTTTTTGTGCAAAAGTTTTTCTGAAGCTAGAGTAACCTCCAGGTGACCTGCAGAGGTCCTTCCCAACCTCAACCATTCTGTTATTAAGGGAGATTTAAGAAGAGAGGTCTTAGTGAGTTTCTAGATTATAGAAATAATACCCGTGTAACATATGTTACTTCACATTCATTATCACATGCTTCTGTAACACAGTTGCCCAGATGAGTAATGTGCGTTTTGTGATACGTGGCTTTGCTGTCATCTCTCCTCAGTAACATGTAAACTACATTCAACCATAACAGAGCCTCAAGTCATGAGGTTCTTCTCTGCCAAAATCTCTTCTAGGGTCATTAAAATAAAAGTATTCTCACAGAGTATATGGAAATTTGATCACATCCTAAAAGCTACTCCCAAAGAACATGCAAACAAAAAAAACTGACACACAAAACATTTCCTTCTATAGGTTTCTCAAAACTTGTATCAAATGAAAAAGTAGCCATCAAATGATGACACTCTACACTCCGTATCCAACTTTTGCATGATGTGTCTCACAAGTTTTACTTAAAAAGAAAAGGGAGTGAGAGGAACCGTAAGAACATATAAAACCTTTTGCTATGCTTTGATGTGAGGTTAAAGCCAGGCAGAGCCTCCATTAGCTCAAATAGCACTGAAGGAAGATCTCTCTGGTTATTGCCCACCCTTAAAGTTACAACAAATAAACTCAATGATCTAAGAACCAAACCCAAGCAAGCCATCAACAGCGCTGCTCGGGTAAGGATTACTGCGACGGGTAAAGGCTGATGGGATTACAGCCTCAGCGACCCGATGAAGGAGCGTGCAGAAGGGCGAGCTGTAGGTACGTCAGCACACCTTGAAGCCGACACAGAAAGAGACTGAAGAGCTGGAAGGGAGGGCACGGCTCCCTGCTAGCATCGCGCTCGGCAAGGAGCAGGAGCCAGGAGTGAAAAGTAAACTTCTGCGCCGCACCTGAGCGGCAGCACCGGAACACAGCCACGTTCGTTCCACGGCGGGGGAGGAGGGGGTGGAAAGTTATCAGAGTCAATTTCGACAGGCCGGGGATGGGGAATCCAATGTTTGTTTCGCTCCAAGCGACTCCTCGCTCCCGCCGTATGCCAAGCGGCCATCTACCGGGCCGGCAGATCCCTCCATCTACCCGTGCCGATGCGTAATTCATCTCCAGGAGATGCGGGGAGGCGCGCAGGAACTCGGAGGGCTCCGAGGCGCGGCCCGCAGCGCAGCGCCCACTGACGGCCCCGCGCCGCCCGCCCGCACCACGCCGCCCGGGCCGCCAGGCCGCAGCAGGGCCGGGCCCGGCCGTGCCAGAGGGCCGGGGGCGCAGCGCCCGCCAGGCCGCCCGAGCTCGCACGGCCGCCGCGAGAGGCGCGAAGGGCGGCCACGCCGTGCCCGGCCCGGGAAGGAGCCGGCGGCGCCGCTCCCCCTTTCCTTCCTTCCCTGCGGAGGGCGGCGCTGCCCTTGTGCCGCTCGGCGCGGGGCGGCCTCCCACCCTGCGCGCGGGGCTGCGGGGAAGAACCCGCGTCCTCCGCTTCCCTCCCCCCCGGGGCCGGGCTCGGGTGCGCCGCTCGAGGCCGCGGCGCCGCGGCAGGAAAGCGGGGGGAACCGGGGAGCCCCTTCTCGGCCCGGCGGGTCGGGAGCGGCGCGGGGCGCGGAGCCGCGGTCGCCGTGCGGGTGCTGCCCCGCCGCCACCTACCTCCCACTCGGTACATGTTGGCCGCCATGTCTGCGCTCTGCGCCCTCCTCCCGCTGCCGGGCCGGGCTGGGCGAGGAGGGAGCGGCTCCCGCGGCCCCCCCGCCCCGCTCTCGCCCCCACCCTGCGCCAGCCCTCCCCGCCCGGGCACAGGACACGGCGCCGCGCCTCGAGGGGCCGCCGCTTCCGGAGCCGCCCGGCGGGGAAGGGGTTAAAAACCGCCCCTGCCGCCTCCTCCTCAGCGCGGACGCCGAGCCCGGGTCGGGCGTGGGGCTCGGCCGCGGCCCGCCGACCCCTCCGGGGGAAGCCACACCTGCGGCCGCACCCCCGAGGAATCGGCGAACCGCTGCCGAGCCCCCTTGCCGCATCGTGACTGTTTGTGCTCCGCTCGGGCCTTTGTTCCCCGCAGCCAAACGGCTTCGCTCCCCCCGTGGGCAGCTACTTGCGGCAGCTGGGGGAAAGTTTGGCACACGTGTGTGCGCAGCACCTGTTGATGATCGATTGGGAGAGGGTTTGTTTCCCTACAAAGAGCGGGATGCGACCCAGGAGCACGCTTTGTGGCTTCTTAAGCTGTCTGCTGTGCTCGGTGAGGGGCAGCAGAAAGCATCCTCGACAGGACAAAGATAGATCCCGCAGCACCGCAGCGTAAGGAAGAGCTGCTCGCAAATCATCTGATGGGGGGGTGAGGGGGGTGGCTGAAAAACATCGGTATTAATGTTGCAGGAAGGCACCTCCCCGTGTTTGTACACAGCCTGCACTACCGCAAACCATCTACGTACTTCATGGCCAATTTTACAGTGCTCCCTTCGAGGAGAAGGGCTTTTTATCATTTCCCTTGCAGGGATGGTGGTGATTTATCACACGTTTCACACCCCAGATTTTTCTGCATGCATCTTGAGCAGTACCAAGAAAGATTTTCAGTTCATCCTGGGAGAAAAATGAGCTTTCCCGGTGTTTCAAGTGATCTCTCCTCACTTTCTCCCTTTCTGTGAATCTGGGCCGATAAGATGAAGGCTTCTTTTACTGCACATTTAACTTTCTGAAATACTGCTTTGAGTGAAGCAGATTACAGAATTGCTGAATGATGTGCACCTGGTGTACAAAACATGCAGTCAGGTAGTCCTCTTTAATAAAAGGCAACAGACTCAGGCACTGAAATGAAAGATCTGGTATCATCCTCTATTTTGTCTCCTGGCAGGAACATCTGTGAGAGCTGACAGAAAGCCCTTGGGAGGCTGCAGCTCTAACTAGCTGGTTCCCCCAGAAACAACAGCACTACTGTGCCAGGGACCCAAAGAAAAGTGGCTAGAAGTTAGGTGGGGGGTTATTTTCACTCTTGTGGTTTACTGCCTGGTTAATGAAACAGAGCTTAACTGTTGAAGGCAGGAGAGTAGTAAAAGCAAACAGTTGGCTTGTTGTAGTGGTTATCAATTAAACAAAATGCCTTCAAGCTCCTTCCCTTAGTTGAAGCCTGCACTGCGACATGAGAGGAATTTCCCACGCTCTGAGGCTCACCGTGTCCTCATCCAGCAAGGAGAGGATTTCAGTGGAAGTAGACTCTTCCTCCCGTGATCTGAAGGCATAGGTTAGACATGAGGAAGACAGCTCCTGAATTTGCCAGTCCAAAATCAGGAGTGAACAAACAGCCCAGAAATTCCCACAGTCCTGAGCTGCTCCTCTAGGACAACAGACGGCCTGAAAGCAGCAAGATAAAACCTTATTTACAGCTGCCTGATTAAGGCACGCGTAACAGCCCAAATAAATAAAGAATGCCATATATATACCTTAGCACTGAATCTCTGGGCCTGATTGTTCACACTACAACAACTCTTACAGTCACAGGCTGCACGACCCAGTGTTGTGCAGTGTCCTGATTTTGCATGGCTCAGAGTTACTGCTTCAAGCTGGGGAAAGCTAAGGCACTCCTTGCTGTGCTCAGGTGCTGAGTTGCAGCACTGACAGTATATCTTGTTTTGTTGAAACACACATAAAAGCTTAGACACAGTTTATTTTCTGTGCTATCTCAGAATAGGAAAAAATAAAGTTATTTAAGCATCTTCACTTTTCTAAATTAAATATAATGGAAAACTTGAATGCCGTCTCGTTTTGAGCATGGCATTGCTGAGGAAAAAAATAAAACACACAAGATTGTTATCTCAATCTTGTAAATGAACTTCACTTAGCTACAAACTGTGCAGGTTTTGAACAACTTACATCCTATTTTGAGTCCAGATAACTTCATTTTCAATGTTCCAATCCAGTACCTTCTCCATAAATCTAAAACAAACAGTCTAAAACAGCAAGAAAAAAAGCAAGAAAAACAAACAAAACAAAACCAACACATATGAAGCTTGCAGAATACACCAGTGATGAAGGCAAATCTTCCTACTAAATTAAACTGACAGTTCAGAGGTCTAAAATAAAATACATTGACTGAAGTGTTCATAAGACTGAAATATTTTTTTACCTTACCTGTAGGAATATCATACTGAAATCAGCGAAAACAGTAAAGAGCTGTTTTTACCTTAATGAAAGGTGCTTAGCTACTTGTTGAGCTTTAATGGAGACACATTCTCATGTCGATACAACAGAGAAGAAAAGGCCTTCAGGGTTTCTAATCCTTGAGCCATACTCACAGGTCCTAACTCAAAGTCCATCAGACGCTGAGTTTTGGCAACAGAAGAAACATTAAGCAGAAGGTTTATTCATTTGTGCCAAGGGAATGTGGCTGCCTTGCTGGTACATCTTTGCTGCAATGGGTAAGCAGGCTGTATGTGTGTACCCATACAAAGAGTTAAAGAACTTTACATTATTATCATTCCTTATCAGCCTAAGCTCCTACTCACACCGGGAGTAATTCATTCCCACAGAGGACTCGGGTAGTTCACTGACTTGTCCATGAATCAAACATTATATGTAGCATATACAAAGTCACTTTCATCTAGCATGGAAAAACATGCCAGTTAGTACAATTTCAGGTCTGGCACACTGGGTTATGTACATGCCTGCAAAATCTCATAAATGATTTTCTAGCAAAAGCATAATTCCTACTGCTATCACTTATTTAGTCACTGAAAAAATACGTTTTTCCATATTAATATTCATGAATGCATTCATAAAAGCTTTAGATAACTTCCATTGTACAGAAGGTTTGGAGAGGATTTTTAAACTTACAGGAACATAGAATTCAGTTTATTATCAAAATCAAAAATTGTGGCTGCCTTTACTGGAGTATAAACTAGGTGCAATCTGTTCCGGATGCTTCCATTTCAGCTTCTTTATAAATCAGCGAATAATAATAAAAAAAACCTACCCCTAGACCTCTCACAAAATAAAATCTTCTCTTGACATCAAAAATAACGTGGTTTTTTTTGTTTGTTTTGTTTTTTTTATCAGCTCTATGAATCAGATCTCTCTAGAGACAGATAGCTAAATATAATGTCACTATTTTCATTAAATATGATTTATACTATAGCATAAAGTTAATTGCTGAATTATCAGTAGACTGCAGATTTAGAAGCTCAGTCCAAATCTTAAAGTCCTAAGAATGCCACTAAATCAATGTGTAGAGAAAAGTGGTGCTTATGCTGGCAACAAGATATTACTTGAGTGGGTATTGAAAAGAGATATTGGTAATGGTTTTCCACTAAGCATCACAGAGTTACGTAGATAGATGATATAGGCTGCCATATGGCACTGCTTTGAAGCAACGCATAATCTTATTTCCCATAAATCACACAATTAAATTAAGGAGATTTTTTGAAAAAAAAAAAAGTCAGACCTTGTATCAGTCTTCATACTCTGACTGCATTTGCTATAACAAAAACCATTCTATCACAAATGGAAACACAACTATTGGTTTGAGGGAGGGATATTAAAGTGTGGTTTGTCATGAATCTGTAAGAAACTACTATTAATGACTATGTACACTAAAAATTATATGTTCAAGAAATGCATTTATTTCACTCCACAGGTTTTGCTAATAAACTCGGGAATAAAGTAAAGACCTTGTTTAGTACTCAGATAAAAGAATAAAGAAAAAAGAAAAAAAGGGAAATTTACCCACCTGGAGATTTAGTTGGTAGCTGCCACTGCATTTTGCAGCTCACATCCTAACAGAAAAAAAGCCTACAGCTCTAGGATTCAGTCTGGTAACCCATTTTGTTTGCTAGCTTTACAGAAGACTCGAGTGCACATCTGACTTCTCTTAGAGTCTGTGAGTTTCGTGCTGACTTTATAAGGACTAAGATGAGAGCTATTGTACACCTGCATTAGTTTTGACATAAGTGAAGCTGAGAATCAGAGTAGTTGGAAGCACATCGCTGTGTTGCTTTCACACGCAGTCCTAAATGAAGCCTTTTTAGTCTTAAATATAATTATACCAGATAGAGATTAAACACACTGCACTGGTTTTACTCCTTGTTTCTCCCCTTCCCTCAATCGATCTATTTTTCATGATAAAGACCTGCTAAAATGCTGTCAGAGGTGCTTAATGACACAGATTTAAGTAGAGTATGGTACATTCGTCTGAGCAGAATTAATTTAAGTCAAGGACTCAGCATCTGTTCGGCTCAGCTTTCTGGGGACTGAGTGATTACAGGCAACTACCACCCAAGTACAACTTATTGATCAAAGGTACAGTTAGTCTCTCCGTGCCTCACCATACCTCCAACCACTGTTGTGTGTTTCCATTATGGAAGGGTTTGACCTAAAATTCTCAGTTCTCCTATTCAGCTTGGAAAATCAGAATAATCGCTTTATGCAGGTCAGCATCGTGACCCAACAATTTTTTGCTGCTCTGTTGGTATAAGAAACATCAGTTCTGAAGTGGCTGGGTGAATTTCAGGGACATTTTCTCTCTGGTGCAATACACATACACCTTCTTCCTCTTTGGTCACTGGAACAGTGCCTGCTCACACACAGTGAATTTACCTTTGTTATCAGGTGATGTTTATTTCTAAAAATAAGTAGTGCCACAGAGGAGGTCAGTTGCCTGCCTGCTTCACAGGCTGCTGACTTGATGACTCGCATCCCCACTCAATATGTGGTAAGGAGCAGCAGCGCTCCCCAGGACTGTGGCAGCACTGTTATTTCTGAAAGAATCAGTGGTTGCTTTTAAGCTGGCAATAATCATATACCTGGCTGAAGTCAGCAAAGTGCATGCAGTTTTCTCAGGAAAACACAAAACATACTGGCGGGCAGCAAGAGAGCTGGAGACAGCCCAGGTCAACACACCAGGCGTGGGGTGATGACA